TTGCTAAGCCGATACAGTGCTAAGTACTAATCACTTCAGGCTTGTAGAACAGCCCAACAACAGGGGTGACTCCAGTCTTCCACATCCATGGCAAGTAGATCTATGAATACCAAGTTGCATCGGCACGATCGGCTCGGACAAACGCCTTGAGCTCGGCCGAGTCAATCTGAAGCCGTCAATTAGAAGTCCAGATGCTGTTCATGATCCTCGGCCTCCTCGGTCTTCCTCGCTCTGACGGATTTTAATGGATGCGAATGGAACTCTGGACAACCTCTTCTTCAAAGGCTAAAAGTTGTTAATGACTTCATCGCTTGAGAAGAGACATTAGGTGTCGATTTTATTAGATTGTCTGATAAAAAGTTCCCTAGTTGCAAATCGTAGAATCTTACCAGCTTGTCTGCTAGCCGCAAGAGTTGGTGATGTACTGCGACGAGTGAGGGAAGACATTACATTCCCACTTCAATCTCATTGAACCGGAATGCACACAGCTCATAGTGTCAATACCCCATAATCCCATTTCAGGTGCAAGGGAATCAGCGATCAAGGTCAGTAGTACCCCTTTCTTGGTTCCAGGGTGATGCTGATTCCTAGAAGTGTGAGAACGCACATGCGAATAGATTCATAAGCCAATTGCCTACCGGCACAAAGTCGACCCGTCTGCAGTCAGCACACATCATCAAGAACAGGCGTAGCACACGGACACATTGTTACAGTCGGTTTTGGACAACTGTCCGCTACCTTACTCAAGACTTCACGGGCGAAGCAGATATCGGGAAAAAGTAACAGCTTGGAGGTCAGAACCGGACTTTAACAAAAACCCCGATCGACGGACGCTACGGCTAACCTACCTTAGTTGCATACACTTGCATACAGATAGGTCGACACTAGGACCGCCATATTACCGCTTCCGGCACGCATTTCAGGCGTACATCCCTCCCACTGCACAGCCCTACCGGTGCAGGGATCGGACTTTTGCCAAGATCTCTGAAAACTCCGGTCGCTGACTTGGACAACCACCAGTCCATCGCACACGACATCAGACGAAGGATGAGGACATAGCGAACAAGCCTCCCCCCAATGATCAATCCAAGACTTGCTGAGCCTTTACGGAACGCGAATACCCAACACTTTTCCAGTCACATTTCAACGGACATGACTTCCTCTTATTAAATAAACCTCCGAGAATTGGTCTCCATCGTTTCCCCTCCATCCCACAGCCGTACCACTTACGACCAAGACAGAGTCTTTAATCGGGAAGAACAGCGTCGTTCCGGCGGAGAAGTCAGAGAATCTCCAATATCCGCTCTTCTCATTAGGAGTATTCACAAAGGCCTTTGACAGCCCGGGTCCGATCACAGTCTACCCGTAACCATGTCTGCCGCTTCGTCTCCCACTCGATCGACGAAAAGTCCTTCGCCGGAGACCACCCGCGTCCCTTCTGTAGCCAAATGGGGCGCCGCCTGCGCGCCGTGTGCGACGGCAAAAGCAAAGTGTCTTCGATCCAATACGACGCCCGGGTCAAAGTGTGATAGGTACGTTTGCGAGGCACAGCGTTCTTTATGCAGCCATCCCGTCCATGATCTCCCGGGTCATTACACCTGCATAGGGGAGCCGGGGATTCCTTAAGATCTCCGGGCCCGGGGGCGGATCTAGACGTTGTTTGTTCCACGGCAATGGCGTGTGGTGTGGTGGCTACCGTGGCTCCATTGCAACCCGCCATGTCTTTGATGGCCCAATGGCGGGAGTGGGAGAAGGACCCTAGGCGGCGCTTGTTGTCATTTTTGACTAACGGTTGTGTTGTTGTTGCGTGATAGATGTGAGCGGCTCTTCAAGCATTGTTCGGGTCAGATACACAGGCCAAGGAAGAAGAGGCAAAGCAGGCCGTCGTAAGTCACACTTCTCAATCTCGGACCCGCGTTCAGTCAAGGATGCTGGATGGTTGCTGTCCAGTATGGCAAGCAACACTAAGCCCTATACAAATGGGGGTTGTGGGATACCGAAGATTCTCTGTATCACTCATTCGGACGAATCACTGAGACAAGATATCGCAGGAAAACAACACAGCTTGAAGAGCGTCTCAACCGCCTGGTCAACACCCTACGAGTATCAGGAAACGTGTCCACCCTCCCGAGTGGCCCATCCACCGGCCAGCCAGTGTTGCCTGGCCCATCAAGACACTCATACCCAATCTGCAATCCGCCAGTCTCCCTACTCTCAGGACAACCAATACCGGCGGACTTCTACTCCCAAAGCCGCGTCTCACCTTGGGACGTCGAAGATCTCTCCGACGTCAGGCCCATTAACATCCCCGAGACCTACAACTCCTTCGTGCCCCCAACATGCATATGCAAGCCCGAGCCGGGGGAAGCCCCGCCGCCTCCCGACACGGACGAGAACCTCCTTAAGATCTACCGCACCAAGCTGGCGCCGTGCTTCCCCTTCGTGCTGGTGCCGGATGACGTCTCTGCCACTACGCTCGGCGCAACGAGGCCGTTCCTGATGGCTGCTATACGCATGGTCTCGTCTTACCGAAGCATGAAGTCAATGCGGGGGCAGATGTATCGTCTCTTGAATCACGTTGCTGACCACATGCTCCTACGATCCGAGAGGTCGTTTGATTTGCTGCTTGGATTGGTGGTTATGCTAGGCTGGTTTCATCAGCATTGCATCGCTCACGCTCAGCTTAATCAGCTTGTCTCGTTGGCTACGTGTCTTGTTGGTGAGCTGGGGCTTAAGAGGAGCCCTTGTTTGCCGGAGCGGACGAGGTTGTTGGTCATGCGGCCTTGGGAGTTGCGGGAACGCACGAATGAGGAGCGGAGGTTGCTGTTGGCGGTGTGGTATCTCAGCTCATGGTAAGCTTCAATACTTTTTGGAGGAAAGAAGAGTGGTCGAGCTGACATTTAATCTACAGCATCTCAATGGACATTCACCAGATTGATTCTATGAGATATTCGGGGTACATGCAACAGTGTTTGCGAGAGCTTGAAGATGATGTAGAGTATGAGTCGGATATACATCTCGGATACATCGTTCGGATACAAAGACTCTGCGAGAGGATCTCGGACCTGAGGTCGAAAGACTATCTCGACGAAGAAGGGGATGAGAGTACTCGGGCGCCTCTCTCAGCCTACGTCTCTGGCTTCAGAGCGGAGTGGAACAAACTCCAGACTAGCATGCCCCCTACCTTGAAGAACAACGGTCAGTTTGGCGTCCCCCAAATCACAAGCCGAAGCGAAAAACTGACAGACTATAGCCTACCTCCAAGTAAGAATGGCCACCCTCCGGCTTCGCATCCACGAACCCCCCAGAATCGACGCCGAGCTCCTCGCCTCCCTCTCCAAATCCCTCGACTCCATCAGCGCAGGCTCTACATCCGCCCTCGACGCCTTCTACCAATCCAACGCAGCCCTCAAAGCCTGGTTCGAAACCTGGCTCTCCGTGCCTCAAGAATTCTTCTACTGCATCCCCATCTCGATAGCCTCGCACATGGTCTACGCCGTTATGATGATGAGTCGCTGGTCCTGGCTTACAACAAGAGGCAAAACGCCGTCCGAGCCGCAGACAGACCCGTCGGACCCGTCAAAGGATAACCCCAATGTTGCACTGGCGGCCATGGAAGCTGCCATCAGCCCCAATACCCCCGCGTCTACGTCAACCCCGTCGGCTGAGACGAAGGGCTCCTCGCCGTGGCAGACGACGTTGCCTGATAAGGATCTGCCTCAAGTGCTGGCTGCGCTCAAGGCGCGTCTTTCTACGCAGCCTGACCTAATGCTTGATGTGGAGGGGTACCTCAACCGAATCGTGGCTCAGCTGCAGACTATTGACGCATTGTACTCCGAGATGTCTGTCGACGAGGGTGAGTGGCGCGGCAACATCTGGAGCCTGGGCGCGACGAAAGTCAAGATTGCGATGCTGAGGCAGCAGAGGTGGTCCAAGGTTATTGCCTCGCAGGCGGAGGAGCGGGAGCTCGAGATCCAGGGCGCGGGCGGCGAGCAGCTTGGGCTTGGTGAGATTGAGATGCAGGAGAACTTCCTTGCCTCGTTGCAGATGCCCGAGTGGGATGCGAGTATGGTCTGGGATCCGCACACTTATTATGATCCCATGCCTCAGGACCCGGCGCTCTGGAGTGAGGTTGTTCCCGGGGATCAGGACTGGGGGACGATGGGGTCGCTGGGACACATGCCGGAGGGGAGATATATGTAACTTGTGTGGCTTGTAAGATAGAGATGTGAGAGTAGCTGTCTAGATTTCAACGAAGCTCATGATTTTGTCAAATCTGGCATCGTGTCAAACCAGTCAATTAAGGTGCCCAAGACAATATTGTGGATAGAGGACTCCATCGGGAGATGTGGATCACAAGAGGTACATAGTCCTATACTTGGCCAGGAAAGTCATCTGGCGTTGTGGCAGAGTGGTCTAATGCGCAAGACTAGAAATCTTGTTCCTTCGGGAGCGTCTGTTCGAATCAGGCCAACGTCGACCTTTTGCCTTTTGTGCCATCTGTCGTTCTGACTTCTTAAATTTCTACGATGGTGAACTTTTTTTGTTGTTTTCGTAGTCACCTGTTGTGTCTTGCAAAGCAATTCATCTGAACTCGAAACACTGGCTGGTGGTGGTTATCACCCCAAAACTTTCCGCTTCACAACCCATCCCTGTCACCTATTAAAAGTGGCTGCTTTAAAGCTTGTCACAATTCAAACATTTCGATCGTATCTTGTCGGCGAATGACTCTCTTAGAGAGTGAGTCATTCTCTCAATTCGATATTCATTAGCAAGTTATGAGCGGCGAGCCGGTTCCCGAAGGTCTGAGTAGATGAAGGACGGGTTAAAGAGAGCCTTTTCATAACTCTCATCCCATTTAGAGTGTAGGGCAGATGTTCACCAAATGCGGATAAGACGGCAACTAGCTTCACATTCCCTGAGCTCCCGATGGCCGAACCAACACAATTCTTGAACAATCAATACAATTTCTTTAGTCTACTTGATTACGCGTCAAACGTCTACGGCGCAGCGGGGGCAGCTCCCGAAGAACCCTGCCAACTCTTGCCCAATAACCCACCACTGCCGCCCTTCTTCTTCTCCTCCTCTTCCATCTTCAACAGCAACTCCCCAAACAATCCATTCGCCCAGCCGAACCACGCGCGCGTCCAGTCATTGTCGTTCCAGCTGTTGACGCTCTCGTGCAAAACGCCAGAGCCAGCCGTCGAATCCAGCACCATTCGTAACTGCTCCTCGACATCCTTCTCCACGTCCTTGCTGCCGGAAATGGGATCGTACGCGGTAATGGCAGCAATGACGGCCGCCATAGGCCACGCTTTGCCTGGACCAACGTGTGGCCCGCCGACAGCGGAGATGACAGGACCCTTCATGTAGTATGAGTTCGCGTCACTGAGGACATACTTGCGCGTGTTGCGGTATACCTCGGTGTAGTCGTGCAGCTTCTCGCCCTTGGGCGGGTCGGGGTACTTGAAGTTGGAGTGCGTAAAGTTCCACAGCGGCATGGCCAGGAGAGATGGCACGTTGGCGTCGTCCATCAAGTTCGCGCCGCCGTAACCGTCCACCTCGTACGCAAAGATATCGCCAAACCCGGGTCGGTGCACAATGGCATCTTTTTCGATACCCTGCCGGATCCCAAACGCCTGCGCGCGCATCTCCAACGTCAGGTTCTTGGCCTTCTCGCCATCCAGCTTGGCCATGATCTCGGACGCGGACTCGAGATACTTTGCCCACATCATGTTGGCCGGCACCAGGAACTGGAAGATACAGGCGTCATCCGAAGGGCGGAATGCCGTGCGAATCATGCCATTTTCCTTAATCGGGTTTCCCAACCCGTCGTTGGTCAAGGTCTCGCTGCCGCGGTTCGTCCACCCCGTGAACGTCCACGCCGACTTTTCCACTTTGCCCTCGGGTGAGTAGGTGCCCAGCCGCATCGCGCCCGCGGCGTTGACGGCGGCCTCGACGGCGTCTATCCAATGGTACTTGTTAAAATGCTGCCAGTCGCCCGTCTTCTCCGCGTACGAGACGGACATTTTCAGAAACGACGCCAGTGAGTCGAGTTCCCACTTGCAATCGAACACTTTTTCCGGGTCGTACGCCGGCATGGGGTGGTTGTGCACGTAGGCGCCGTTGTGCGTTGGCGGGATGCCGCTCTCGGGCGGCGGCTGGAAGCTGTGGCAGTACGGCGAGATGATGATGTAGCGCGAGTGAGCGTTGATGAGGCCGCGCCAGAGGCTGGCAAGGGAGTTTGGATCCCGCGAAGCCTCAAGGATGGGCAGGTAAGGGCTGATTTGCTCAGCCGAGTCGCGCAGCCAGAGGGCGTCAATGTCGCCGGTGATAACATAGGTGAGCTCCTGGTCCGTCGCCTTAGACACGCCCGTGGCCTTGTCCGTCTCGTTGGCGTACCCCCTCCACTTCACCATGCTGTCGAGCGTCATGGGATACGCATTCTCAAAGAGGCGGTACAGGTCCGGGTCCTTAATGACGCCCTTCATGCGGATGATGAGGTTGTCCATGGCGGGGAGGCGGAATGTGCGACATTCCGGCCGGGGCCGGTTGAGCGGGAATTTGCGTTTGCCCTCGGACAACGGGCCGGGCTTCGAGCGCATCCAGTTCTCAAAAGACTCGCAGTCCGCTGCGGGCGGCGGTGTCGGTGGCATCGGCGACGACGCGGGAGCGCTGGGTTTCGGATCACCGGGTCGGCCGGTGTCCGTAGGCGGCTGCTTGGCCAGCTCCTCGTCCTTGTTGCGATACGAGTCCTGCCCCTCGGCGTCGGCCTTGAGCTTGTCTGCGGCGGTATCAGGTTCGCCGTGTGCTACCGGTAGTTCCTTGTCCTTGTCCTGGTTTCCGAGGGGTTGCTTGCCGGCATCACCGCCGGTGGTAGTGGTAGTTTTGCCATTGCTCACGCCGGCTGCTGCTGATCGCGCTGAGTCCAGGTAGCTGCCGCCGCCTGCAAGGCCAGAGTTGTTGAGGAAGAGCACAAAGATGATGACGAGAAGGGCAATGAATACCACGCGCGCGCGACGTGTCTGTATGCCGCCGCTCAGGACGGTGAAGGCTGGCATGGCTGCGTCGTGTCTGTGGCGTCACCCCCTTGGGCGCGTTGTCCGTTCCAGTGAGATTGCCTTCAATGAGTGTTCGTTCCTGTGAGATGAGTCCCCCGAATGGTGTATCTTTCTACCTTCCAATGTCGATAATGAGAGTGTGGCGTTTTTGAGTGTTCACTCAGCTCATCCAGCCCATGACAACATGCAAATATTGGGACCCTCACTTCAACTAGACATCGTGTGCTGTGTCTTGAAAGGGCGGAGAACTCAAGAGGAGTTGACGAGTTGACTTGCTTCAGGCGACGGTGTCGATTCCCGCTCTAAAAGATTAAGAAAGTAAGGGGTCACCCTCGCTCGGCATCCCACTATAATTGGATTTTAGTTCCAGGGCGCCGTCTCGGTCGGTTCCAAGCAATTTCGGGTCGCTCGTGTTGCAGGATGATCCTTGACTAGTTCGGTCCTCAACTCTGATCAAACTTCTTGCGGGGGGTTGTCTCAGAGGAGGGGGCGTATTAAGGGACCACACGGGAAAAAGAGCTTTTTCATTGATCATTGAATGGTCCCCTTCCCCTACAGGTACGAACGATACGAATAATCTGTCTGCTTTCATCCTGCTCATGGGATTGGCCGCCGCCGTGAAGTATTGCTTACAACCTAGTTCATCTTCGGGTCAACTTGCGCAACCACATCTCTTCATCTGAACGCGGGGAAATAACTAATCCAATCACGGACAGCTGGCTCCGAATTGTGAACGAACCACGCGACCCTCGGGTTGCACCGCACTATCGAATGGTTGCAGCGTTGTGTGGCTGGCCGCCACGCGAACAGTGGCTTCATGCAAAAACGTGCAACAACATGCCGAGGAGCAAAATGTTTGTTGCGATATCTCGACGTTGGCCTGATTCGAACAGACGCTCCCGAAGGAACAAGATTTCTAGTCTTGCGCATTAGACCACTCTGCCACAACGCCGAAGTTGTCGTGAACCCGCAATGAAGCGGGGATGCTAAGGAGCGGGCTTTGCTGCCACTAGAGCTCTCACGACAGCCTCAACTTTTTTTTTTGACGAATTCTTGCGAGATCGCCATGCGAACATGTAAGAGTAATTGGGGTTGGCAAAACGCGCATTTCCAGCTTAGGTTACCGGTGGGATTCATGCCCACCCAACTCAACGCGTTCGCCCAATCCTGAAACCTTGCGACTCATTGACGCAAACTTTGATAACTGGGACTGCTCGTAGTATACGCACGACTGAGGAGACAGCAGTCTACAAAACAGATTACAGATACAATGCTCGCCAAAAGACCATTATAACTTGTACAACCTCGGCTCCGTCCCCTCCTCCGCCGCCCGCCGTACAATCCCCCGATTCTTGACCCCGTAATACACCCTCAGCGCCACACACCCAACCACGACAACGAAAAGCAGCGCCGCATTAGCCCAGTGGCCGGTCGGGTACCCCCGGGCCTTCTCCTCGGCCTTGTAGACCCATACGCCCGGGATCTGCCCGAGTCCGGCGCCGATGCTGACGTTGAGCGCGATGGCGAGCCCCGTCGCCGCCGTGCTGAAGATGTTGGACGTCAGCCAGCCCAGCAGTGGCGGGATGCACGCAAAGGCGCCCGAGGCGCCGACGATGAGACAGCCGTAGCGGGCGTTGTAGGCGTCGGGAGGGAGGACGGCCGAGACCGCGAAGGCGACGCCGCCGATGAGGGCTAGGGCTGCGGAGTGGATGCCGCGGGCGTTGAAGTGGTCTGCGGACCATGCTACGAGGATTTGGACGACTGGTTTCTCACGCGTTAGCCTCTAGGGGTTATATGTCGGTTGAGGGTATTAAGGGAGTAAGTTCTTGGCCTAGACGTACCGTATGCTGCAGCGTAGGGGGGAACCGTCATCAGCTGGGCTTGCAGATCGACAAACCCGAGTCCTGAGGTAATGGACGGTGTAAACAGCGATAGCGATGAGAACGGCGTCGACATGGCAAAGTACACCAGGTAGTGTCCATATAACCTCCAGTCCGTCAGCGTCGCCTTCGCTTCCTCCCAAGACATAGTCTTGTGGCTGCTCTTGCTGCCCTCATGGTAGAGTCTCCGCAGCGCGAGATCCTTTTCGCGTTCTGAAAGCCAGCTGGCGCTCTCAGGATAATCAGGTAAGAAGAACCACACGAAAAAGGCAGATAGACACGAAGGGATGCCCTCGAGGATGAAGAGCCACCGCCACCCCGACATGCCGTGCACCTGGTTCATATGCCCGATCCCGTACGCAATCGCACCGCCAAACGCACCCGCTAAGGTCGCGCTCGCGAGAATCATGGCGACCCTCACGCTCCTCTCGTCATGTTTGTACCAAAAGGTGAGATAGTACACCAATCCTGGGAATAGCCCAGCCTCAAAAACGCCGAGGAGAAACCGCACGCCCGTCACCGTCGCGAAGCTGTTTGCGCCGCCGAGGCCAATGGTGACAGAGCCCCAGGAGAACATGAGGAAGGCGAGCCAGCGCGAGGGCCGGAGCTTCTTGAGGAGGATATTGGAGGGCACCTCAAAGATTGCGTAGGCAATGAGGAAGATCATGAGGGCGATCGTGAAGTCGCGGTTGGACATGTGAGTTTCGGTCTGCATGTCGTGGCCCGTGGAGGAGTTGAGGATCTTTGCGTTGCCGATGTTGGATCGGTCGAGGAAGCAGAGAAAGTAGATGCTCGCGGAGAGCGGGATGATGCGTTTGTCTTGTTTCCAGAGAAGCGCTTTCTCTTCTTCCGCGTCGGATGGTGTTGGGGAGGATGGTAAGGGTTCCTGTGATGATGCGGTTCCTATTGGTGTGCCTTGTGATTGTCTACTCCATGGCGCACTTACCTCTTTCACGGCGGGAGACTCGACGTCCTCTCGGCCTAGGCCGAACGAGCCCTTTTCCTCGGGATGTGAGGCCATCGTCGATGCTGAGAAAGATGTGTTGCTGAGCAGAGTCGCGGTAGCAAGCACCGTTTGAGCTGAATACGATTGTAGACAGAGTTCTTGACCACAAAGGTGTCACTGTCTTCAGCCTTGAAATGTCAACATTGAACCTTAGGTAAGGTATCAATAGAAAATTACCATTTCATACCTTCGTCACGCAGCAAGAAATGTTGGCCTTTTCATCTCATCGGCCGAGGTGGGTTTCCCCATTCCCCGCATCCGCGGGGAAGCTTCTCCTCACCTCCAACACGAAAATCTCACCAAACCATGCATGTGCCGCCGTGCCGCCCCAGCGTCGCTATCTGGTGGAGTGGGTTTTGGTGGTTTTCGCGAATCAACGGCTCGCTGTAAGAGTGCGACGATCGGCCGTGCTTGATGCAATCATGCAGGTTTAGCCAAACAAGTCACACACGATGACCGAGAACCGGAGTAGCAGGGAGATTTGGGAGGTTGGGAGGATTCGCCTAAGACAGCGCCCTGTCCCTCGCTTTATCTGGCGTCAGGTGGAATTGGGATCTGCAAAGCCAACCACCGAATCTTACTATGACTACTCATTGAGAAGTCATCTATGGAATCGTCAAGTGTGAGAGGAAGAAAACGACAGTCTCACTTGAACACAAAAAAGCGCATCCTCATATTCCCGCGGATTCATTGCCGCTTAGCTCGATGAATTGATAAACCGCTGTTTGGGTCGCGCGCTGGAGACCAGATACCATTCGGGTCTCAATGGATGCATGCTCAGGCGAAATTGCTCGAAGTCTCAGCCACAGACCTTTCAAGGCCGAAGAACTCCGGCAATTCCACCATTGCAATATCTCATTCCACGCATACGTCCACGCAGAATTGCCGTCGTTCATGATCTTGAACCCGCTGAACCCCTTCGCCAACTGAATCTAGTTTGGTGCTGTCTCATGAGCCGCCTCTTCGCGAACGGGTAAACACGTGGCTTGGGCCGACCCGAAGCCCCGGACAGATTTGATAGGCTGCAAAACGACTGATCTGCTATGTTGTTGCTGATTGAATCCGTTCTCATCGTGTTGCGTTCCTGGGTACCTTCAGCTGTAGCCAAGATGGATCGCGGGGTCTAAGACAACATGCCGTTTCCGGTGCTTCAAAGACACTTCTGTAGAAACGGACCCTTCAGATATGAGCCCATTTCACATGCTAACATCTGAAATTCTGTTCCATCTCAGCCCTAGAGAACTGCGAGCTGAACCTGACCATTGATATAATGGCCTGGTGGGTGGCCCTCTCTTTTTTCCTGCTTGTCGTCTGCTCTTCGTCAACATCAAGTCTGCTCCTACAAGAACAAGAAACCAATTAAAATGTCGACAGAATACGTCAAATGTGCACACAGAACCATCCCAGAGGATGGAAACTTTGCGAACAGGAAAAGGCTGGTGATCTGCTGCGATGGCACATGGAACAACTCGTAAGTGCGGCAATGAAGAGATTCGATCATCCACGTATGCGTATACTGAGATGCCACTCCAAGCAATAATGGCGGCGTCCCCACCAATGTGAGCCGCCTCTCATCCGCAGTCGCACACAAGTGCTGCAGCGGAATGCCTCAAGTAGTCTACTACCACCGCGGTCTCGGAACAGAAGAAGACAAATGGGCTAGCTTTGTAGGAGGCCTGTTCGGCCTGGGTGTCAAACAGGTAAGTGACTTCAATAGACTGATGGCGGTGACACATGGTTGATGTTATTCGGTACCAGGATATTATAGATTGCTACCGTTTCATCTGCGATAACTATAACCCGGGGGACGAGATCATCATCGTCGGCTTCTCGCGAGGCGCCTTCACGGCTCGGTCGATCGCAGGCATGGTCTGCACGCTTGGGTTCCTCAACCGCTCTGGACTCAGCAGCCTCGGCCAAATCTACAAGGATTATAAAGCCTTCGGCGACTGGACGGATCCTCGCATGTTTGACCCTAAAAAGCATCTACTGGGGTTCAATCACGACCAGCTGAAGATGAAGATAGAGAAAGAATACATGGCAGAGATTCAGCCGCTCGAAGATAAGTTGCGCCCCGAAAAGGTCGGAGAGTTAACAGAGGAAGAGGTTTGGGATGTGGAGAGGGATCTGGTGAAGCTCCTCGAACGTTACGATCAGGCCACGAGTCACGAAGCCTTGGAGAAGCAGCTACATGAGGATAAAAGAGAGTTATTTACGAAGATGACTCAGTTCAAACGGACAGATGGGAGCATGAAGTTTCGCCTCATGGCAGAGGCTTATCGCCAGAAGCTGAGCGATGTAAGTGACGTCTCGCTCTTCTGAAGTCCTTGACTCGATGGCTGATTTCTCAGTACGAACTTTGCTTGACTCGTATGGTAGACGATGGCAATGAAGTAATCTCGCACCGAGCGGTGGAGGGGAAGATTAAAGCAGTCGGTGAGTTCAACCCTACTTTCGATTATCAGTTCAACTCCAATTCGCAGTAGCTAAATCCGCCATTCGAACAGGCGTTTGGGAGACAGTGGGCAGCCTTGGAATCCCCAAGACGCCGTGGTGCAATTGGCACGGCGCCAGTCGCAGTGCTGAAGAGGTAAAGTCCACCCTCAGGGGAAGCCCGAGGGCTGTGGTCGTCATATATGTGCAAAGGCTAAACGTCTCATGACTGCCAGGTGCGATTTGCAAGCTACAATGTCCACCCCAATATCGATCATGCGTTCCACGCCCTTGCCCTAGACGAATTCAGAAGCCCTTTCGCTCCCACACTTTGGAGGTGCAAGAGATCGAACACAAATACCCAACTTCGCCAGGTCTGGTTCCCTGGATGCCACAGCAACGTTGGCGGAGGCTCTGATTCCCAGCAAATCTCCAAGATTGCCCTTGGATGTATGTTACTTACCCCATGTGCTGGACTCTCCGCTAGGGTGGAGATCCCCTATGCTTCACTTGAAGAACCTAAACTGACGATGTCACTAGGGATGGCGGATCAGCTAAATTCCGTTGGCGTGGAATTCAGCACGTGTGAGATGAAACGCATCTTCAGTACAATCTCTCACGGAGACACCATTCGGCCTTGGGGCCTCGGTGAGATCACCAGCCCAACATCTTTGGTCACGACGGGTCTCGACCGAGTTTGGAACGTGATTTCAGCGCCGTATTATGCGTACCACGGTCAATTCGCAGAGAGTTCGGCGCGAACACCTCATTTCTACCAAGACGACAACGAGAAGAAGCTCCTTACACACACGGAGGAGCTCGTTCACCCCTGCGTCAGGGTCCGCTACCTGTACAACGGTCTCGGCCTAGATGATAAAGCTGAGTGGCGCTGCAACGCTCTTACGGGGCACGGCTGGGAACTCAAGCTTGATAGAGGCGTTGCCCCAACTAAGGTTCGCCCAAGTCGGGACCCGAAGATCGTGGACAAGTATAGGACCGTTGCCGGATCCGTCACCTCTGTCCATCAGCAGTATCCGAAAACTCGAGCTGCTGAAGGCCAGCTGGTCAATACCGAGCAGCCCTCGGAAGATAATCTATGGCAGTTGAAATCTCCGGAAAACACTTACACATGGACTCACCCAGAGGGCAAGGTGCTTAAAGAAGAGCAGATTGGCATGTGGGAACGCATGTTCATCGACATCAACTACGATCATGTCGAATTGAAAAAGATAAGTGATGAACAAAAGATGCAGAAACAGACGCATGGTGATCGCCTTAGAGACATGGCGACGAACAACGTGTACCACGCCCTGGGCATGGTTGACTGGATTGTCAAGACTACTATTGGCGCAGTATTTGTTACGCGGCCGGACAAGCAGTATCCGCTCGGGTACCCGTTAAAGCATGGGTATTACGACTTTGTGTCCTGGCAAAAGGGGCTCAAGCAAGATGATTCGGAGGTTGGCCCCTCAGCCAAGGACTCGGCCAAGGATGCACATGCTGCTAAAGATGGTGATGTCCATGTCCATTACCACTGGCTGAACGATGGTACGCAATAAGAGGGCGCAACTTGACCTTCAAGTTGATACTTTGTATGGATATTTGGCAACTTACTTTCATTTGTCTCTTGGACTTTGGTGTTCTTAATGTCAAAAGGTTCTGGCTAGCTTTTACACCATTTTTAATGAGTAATAATGTAGAGTACAATACATTTATTGAGTTCGGAAGAAACGAGCAACTCGATTGATACAGCAACTTCGAGTACAAACCCTCTCTTTCGTGTCGCAACTTCCCATGGCCTAGGAAGGGAAATTGATCTTCCTGCAACATGGGTTGCAAGTGATTCAGAGGCCAGAACCACAAATCCAGCAAATAGCTTTTCCACGTTCACCATACAGCACGAAGAATCCCATAATTCAAGTAGCTCTCTGCGTTGCGCAATGAAGTAGATGAGCCGGAAGATCTTCTACGTGTTCTATGGCAATCTCAGTCAACTCGATAGGTGATGGTTCCTCAACGGGAGAAAGACAAGCTCTCGGTCTTATGTATTACCGTCCCACGGCTCAAGGAGTTATTGATTTCCACACCCTAATTACAAATGTCGCTACACTCGAGCAAAGATGGGCGACTCGCCTACTCAGTTCCACCTTGGAAATATAAACCTTCGGCCTGTGCTGTCCATGTTGCAGCTTGCCTCGCCCGCTGGGTTTGGAAGGTGTCAATTCCAGCCGCAGGCAGCAGTCAAGTGGGCCAATAAATCGTGTCCACCGCCCAAGTCCCCGGTCGAAGGATTGCCATGCAGACGTCTAGTTCATCTCGTATAGAGTATTGACCAAACGTTATCATCCTGATGGTAGCATGCTGAATGCCTTGCAGGAACGCTATGTAGTTATTAGCCTATCAAGGATCGAGATCGTAGCATGATCTTCAGGGACCCCGAGATGATGCCGACAGGAGGAACGGGCCGTAATACGTACAGCTCTCTCGAAGTCCCGGTAATTCAAGACTTACATAGTTCTAAAAACCGGAGCTTCATCACATGGTCTTCTTGGGAGGTAATTTGCATTATGCATAAGAATTCG